TGTCCCCTGCGCACCGCATGCGTCCCTCGGCCCGTTGCAGCCAGCAGCGAGGCAGCCGACCTGCGCCGCGAAGACTGAGACCGGTCGTCCCCTGCCCTGCCGCAGACTGACTCTGACCGGTCGTCCCCTGCCCTGCCGCAGACTGACTCTGACCGGTCGTCCCCTGCCCTGCCGCAGACTGACTCTGACCGGTCGTCCTCTGTCCTACCGCATACTGACTCTGGCCGGTCGTCCTCTGTCCTACCGCAGACTGACTCTGGCAGGTCATCCTCTGTCCTACCGCATACTGACTCTGACCGGTCATCCTCTGTCCTAGCACAGACTGACTCTGACCGGTCGTCCTCTGCCCTGCCGTATACTGACTCTGACCGGTCATCCTCTGTCCTACCGCATACTGACTGACCGGTCGTCGTCTGTCCTACCGCAGACTGACTCTGACCGGTCGTCCCTTCCCTGCCGCATACTGACTCTGGCCGGTCGTCCTCTGTCCTACCGCATACTGACTGACCGGTCGTCCTCTGTCCTACCGCAGACTGACTCTGACCGGTCGTACTCTGTCCTACCGCATACTGACTCTGACCGGTCGTCCTCTGTCCTACCGCAGACTGACTGACCAGCCGTCTCTGTCCTGTCGCAGACTGACGCTGCTGCTCGTGCCGACGATGCGGTGGCGCTGGCGCTCCCCGGCCGCGCTGCTGCTGCTCGCCTGCTGGCTGGCTGTGGCCTCGCGGGCCGACCTCGGCAGCCTCAACAGCAGGCTGGAGAACCTGCTGAAGAAGCAGCGACAGATCGAGGACGCCGTCAGCCGGGGCCGCACGGTCGGACGCGGCCTAAACTTCTTCGATGTGGCGCGCACCATAGCAGGTCAGTGATGGCTGCCGGCCGCCTCAGCAGATTGCTCAGGAGGGACTCACTGGGAGTGCGCGTGTCACCCATCGGGCTAGGTCGATGTATTGAAGTGCGGGCAATATTACTTTTTAAAGACCCGTAGCCGCTAGAGCCATGCCTTTCCTGAAATGTGGGCTTTCCATCGCCTCCTCCTTGACCATCACTCCTATTATATATATATATATATATATATATATATATATATATATATATATATAACATCGTAAAACCTATAATATAAAAGATAAGACATAACATGAAATAATCATACAACTTGCATATGCATACTATGTAATACTTATCAGCATGTTCTACCCATCCACATATTACGTACGCGGCTTAGTAAACTTAGCAACAGGATCTGTCACCTTGTGTTCATTTTGCGGCACAACCGTGGCGTCATTATTTTTGAACAAAGCATAGAATAGCCATTTTGAAGAGCTTTGCGCACGTTTTTTGTGTGTTTTAAATGTTTTCATTGAGCTCGTTATGTCAAATACATGTTTGCGTATTCCTGTCACATATCACTAATCCTACAACAGTCAAACCATTTGGCGGCCATGCCGAACCCAAACTATTGCGCACTGCACCACGAAAAAAACAGTCACACTCACTGCTAACCCAATGGCTTGTCTTTGCTGAAGTCTATAACAGAATGGATCCTGATACGACTTTGCTGAGTATCATACTTTAAAATGTCGTCCTGAGGCTGACAATATGAGGTGGTTCATAATTAACTTCATGCATTCCACTTTCGCGCAGTGCGCAACTCCGCTCTGCTGCGATCACGCTGCTCGCTTGCCACAGGCACGTTCGGTTGGTCTGTTTAGGTCATGGAAGGCATTTTTGGCTCAGTTATTCAGAGTTCCTCGAAAGGATTGTGTTTTATTTCTTTTTTGTTAGTTTTACTTAGTATTGCTTGGCGGCTAAATCAACGGGTGTGGGCGATCAAATGCGACGCATACACGCCTATTTAAATCGAAGCTACATTGTCTCGATCCTACAATATGCTTTATATTGCCACTGCTGCTGTCTGATGTTTGTTTGATACTTTGATGCTGATATTCTTGACATATTATTGAATATTTCCCGCGTTTTTCCAACAATCGAAGGACAGCTGTTGTCGCGAAGGCAGCACCCTCCGTGGCTGCCCACGCTTGGTTGTTTGGAATAGAGCCCTTTCGACCAGAAATGATCACTTAAGGACTATGGGAGGAATGCAAATGGTTAGCAGTGGGGCAGGCTTGCATGCGCCTGGGGGGGCCAACCGCCGAGCTTTAACCCACGCATGTGCGCCGGGTACCCGGTCGGGGTCCCCCTTCCCACGGGACCTCTCAGCCCCCTCGTGGCTGACGTATGGGGCCTGCCCCGGACAAGTGAGTGTCGCGAGGATGCAGGATAAAGCAGGACAGAGGACAAGAGGGTCGGATGCCGACGCCCTGGCCATACCGCCGCTCTGGCTCGGGACGGGCGCGCTAGGCCTGGTTTCAAGACTTGCGAAACCTAGCCAACGGACCGGACAAGCGCCGCCGGCACGGCTTACCGCCCGGCCGGCCGAGCATTTCAAGGCAGGTCGGTGTTTGGCGTGGGCGGCGCAACGGGCCGGCGAGCGCGTGCGGCCGGGTGCGGCCGTCGCGGTCTGCGTGACAGGGAAGTGCCGTTTCACGGCCGCCTCCACACACACAATCAGTCAGCGTCTATTCTCTCCGCGCGCGCGGCGCTGTCCCGGCGCGGTCCGGTCGGGCCGACGCTGCTGGGCTGGTGTTCACAGTGCACACACGCACTGTGACTTGAAGCCTGTCGCGGCTAATGAGCCTGCGCGGTGACAAAAGGCGCACACTCGTCGAGAGAGAGAGAGAGAGCTGGCCGCAGTGAGCCGGTGCGAGCTGCGTACGCGTATATTTAGAGCGCACCAGACGATAAATGGCTCGCTTTCGCGGCGTGATTTTGTTAGGCGGATGCGCCGCAGCTTTTGTCGCTAGTAACCACGCAATTATTGCGGTCATGAGTTGCTAGGACGGTTTTAGCTTTGCAATCTGCCGCTGGTGGCGTCGGCTGGTGGTAGCAAGCGCTGAGCTGCAAGCAGTGCACTCTGCCGAGACCTGCGACAGCCTCCCTCGAGAAGACGGCGTGCAGCACTCAACAATGGGTTAACGCCTCGCACAGAAGGGAAGCGGAACCAAGCCGCCACCCGGCGGGGAACAGCACGCGTGTGACACGGATGTGCTCCGCCACCCACCCGACGTTTCCGCTGCGGCTTCAGCTGCAGGCCGGCCGCTCATCGCATCAGATCACGTCCGAATTCGCCGGCGGTGGGGCTCGCCGAGTTTTCACCCCATTTCCTGTCGGCTTCGTTGGGCTGCGCTCACAAGCGGGACAGCCGGGGCCATTGTGTGGTGCATCTGCCACTGCCTCCTCCAAGGGCCCCTCAAGCTGATGCCCCCATTGTCACAATATCCAGTGCGTGGCAGTTGGAATCCGGGAATTTTTTCTCACTTTCTACTTTTGTTCATATAATCTAGCTTTAGGCAAAGAAAGGAAGGATTTACAACTTTTCAGTTGCATTTATAAAAGAAGTGCAGCATGTAAGTCTTATTTGTAGTAGACGAGCTGTCCCGCTGAATTCAGCTGCGGTTGAATTGCGATTCTGCGTGCAAATAATCGCGAAACACTCGTCTTTTTGGCGGGACACAACGCCCTACAGCAGCAGTAAGGGTGACGGGGATTGCAGGCTAGACTGTCTGCCGACGTGGCATTGCAGTGATGGAGCGTGGCGTCGCGTGGGAGCCCGATCGGCGGTCAGTGACATGTCTCGCTATAAGGAGCATCCGTCCATTTATTCGGTGTGCCTGGTGATTGGCCCGTCTCTCCCCCTGAATGAAGCCCGTTCAAACTGCACTTCTCCCCTGCACACCTACCCCTGCATATCCCTGTATCGTATGCATTTTTTAGTTATCTAAACATGACGCATATTGTAAATCCTTTCCTGAAATAGGGCGTTTGAGGCTTTTGTACCACGTTTTAACGTTTTGTCATTTAGTGTATTGCGAATATTAGATAGCAGTGAACACACACGATGAAAATGTGGAAAAATGGAAAGTATTGATTCCATACTGGTAACCAAGGAGTCCAATGTGATTGCGTCCGTCGGAGCATCTACTTCAAATAGATGTTCTGAACTGTTCGGAAGCATCTAGAGACAACTGGTTTTACCGACCATATTAAGCGCGTGTGACCGAACGGCAGGTGACAGTTACAAACAGATGACATACTCTGAAACGTTGGCGTCGTGCTCTTTCATGGCTGCATTGCTCACGCCGCTGAAAACTGCCTTAATTTTTCGCCACATTATACCCTTTCAAAACATTAACTGTCCGCTTGTACCGCCACTTAACTTTGCTAACACAGCGCTCCTACGATGCGCCCCTTCCCCTCCCCGCTAATGCAGCGGAGTATATATTACAAACTGACGGTACACCTGACAGCCGCTCGTGCGTTGCGCCCCCTCCCCCTCCACGCTCATGCAGCGGGGTAGATATTGCAGACTGACGGTACACCTGACGCAGCCGCTCGTGCGATGCGCCCCCTCCCCTCCCCGCTCATGCAGCGGAGTAGGTACTGCAGACTGACGGTACGCCTGACGCCACGTGGCCTGGCGCGGAGCCGGCCGGGCGCTGCACACTGCGTGCAACACTGCCGTGTGACCCCAGCGGTGAGCTGACGGCCGGCCGGGCGGCACGGCGCTCGTCCGTTATCTATGTAACGGGAGCGCGGCGCGGTCCGCTGTGACGACGGCAACCGAGCGTTACGTGACGCGTGGGCATAGGCAGACCGCGGCCGACGGCGGGACGGCGTGCCGAGGCTGGTTCGGACGTGGTCCCGCATCACCCGGGGTCTGATCGTGGTCCCGCATCACCCAGGGTCTGATCGTGGTCCCGCATCACCCGGGGTCTGATCGTGGTCCCGAATCGCCCGAGGTCCAGCCATGGTTCCACTTGCTGGTCATGGTCCCACATTACCGAAGCTCTGCCATGGTCCGACATCACCTAGAGTCCGGCCATGGTCTCACGCCACCCGAACCGCTGCGGGTGCTGGTCATGGTCCCACATTACCGAAGCTCTGCCATGGTCCGACATCACCTAGAGTCCGGCCATGGTCTCCCGCCATCCGAACCGCTGCGGGCGCTGGTCATGACATTTAGCTGGTCCCGCGTCACGCGCAGATTCTTAGTAGCTGAACTGGTCTCAAATCATCAGAAACGTCGTATCAACTCAGCTGTCTGATATTGCCGAGAGCTCAGCTGTTTTCTCATTGACCGCAGTGTGAAGCCGGATGGCGAACCTCAGCATGGTGTCGTCGTTCTTGTGCTAGGAAATATCCGGCAAAGCAAGCGAACGAAATGGGCCTGCTGTATGCCAGACTGTTTAATTCCTTTCAGCCATTGGTTGTCAGCAGATCGTCCCAGATGCGGCTGGGCAATCCCAGGTTGTATATTGCCATGGTCAGGGGAATCAAAGACCGTTGTCAGAACAGTCGGTAAAGTAGTTAAAAGCGTTTCAAAATGTTGCAGTAGATTGTGTTGCTTCATGCCTTGTTCTCGAGAGTTTCGAGGGGCGACATGTATGTATCAAGGTGTTCCTAACTCAGGCAAGTCCCCGGAGCGTAGAATGTCATTAAAGTGATGACGCTTTCATTAAAAAACATAGTGTGAACATGCTTCAGAAAAGAAAATGATCGTGTCATTTTTCCTAAACGTTTCCATAAAGACGTTTCACACAGGAAGTGGTCAGGCGTTTTCTTCTCGTAAAAACTGATATAGCTATATGAACCATCAAAACCAAAACCGAGGTCGAAATAAAAAAGCTGATACCAAGACCGAAACTGAGCGGAAAAATATAAATGCTGTCGACCATGCATCCTGGGCCCGCCACCCATCTACTAACGGCTCGACACGAGCTTATGCTGACCATCGAACGAAAAGCCACGGTTCTACTGAGTCTTAAAATCGGTTGGTTCAACAGTTAGCTGATTCTACGGATCTGAAAGCCGGTAGTGCTCTGAGTTCGGTGACCGACACGTCACGCGTCCGATGCACGTCAGTCCAGCGTACTTCACGTCCGATGCACGTCAGTCCAGTGTACTTCGCGTCTTGTTGTTAACCAACGGATCTTTGTCAGTGTGCATGCGCATGCGTACCACACCCTCACCTTCCGGCATTGCCCCGCTCGCTGTCATCCTGTCATGTATACCACACCCTCATCCTCCGACAGTGTCCGGCTAGCTGTCACCCTGTCTTGCACGTCATCAGTAGCGACGCCTTCTAGCCTCTGTCACTCTGTCGCTAGCCGCCACGCCGGCAGGGCCCAACTACACCCAGCTGATGCTGGAGACGATAGAGGACGTCAACACGCTGGACGAGCTGCAACTCATGCGGCTCATCAAGCTAAACCAGGTGCTGACGCCGCCACGTGACACGCTCATCTACCAGCCCGAGCACGCGTGGAACTCTGCCGAGCCACACGACACCTACAGCCCGCAGCACCTGCGCGGCATCTTCGACTTCCTGACGCCGGCGCCGCTCGGTGAGTAACTCCTGCACTCTGCACTCTGCACTCTGCACTCTGCTGTCCTTCGTCGGCCCGTCTGGCGACTCTCGGCTCTCTGACAAGGCCTGCTCGGTGAGCTGCCGCATGCTGTGCTCATACGGGTTTCTTCAACAGCTGTGTGGCTCAAATTTGGTCATTGTATTTTTATACCTGCTGCAAAGTTTAGTGCTGAGTATTTATGTTCTTGTACTTTCTGTATCTACCTCTTTTTACATAGCTGTTTTTCACGTCAATCTTGTTGATATTCTGCATTTGACCCGTTGAGAGAACACTTCGAATACCTAAAACTGCTTTACTGCATCGTGAGTGCTCTTATGGATGTCTTGACTACATACCTGAACAATCCTTCCGTCTCCCACTGAATTTAGTCCGCTCGTCCTCATATTGTGCAATGCTCTAACCCCGTTTCCTGGCACGCTGACGGAACCCAGTGACGATAGCTCACACGGGACCGGCCGATCACTCACGGTAACCGTTAGTTCTGGCTTGGTTGCGCTGGCCCGGCGGCTGTAATCTGCTGACAGTGTGCTCACCTTGTCCGTCACACATCAGGAACGCGGGACACAATGCTGTCGCAACCGCCTGCCCGGTTGATTACGAGCCGGTGAAGTGTAGCTGGTCCGCCGACCATAGCGTGGTCGTAATGCTCACCATAGGGAAGTAGCAACCCGCTCACTCCGGAACCGGCGTCACAACAGGACAATTATCAGCAGAAAAATACTCTCCGGCCCGTTGTCGACAATGCTAGAGGACAACAATGCCATACACAATGTGTCCTGACGCTGCGGCGGAGCCGTCGCTACAGCGCCGTAGTCGGCGCATCCTGCGGCAATGGCGTGGGCCACGCGGACATGCCGGCACGCGCGCCACGCAGAACAAACGCCACGCGCTGGCTGACCAGAGCGCCGGTCTGGCGTGCTGCCGCCTGGAGGTCAGGGGTCAGCCATCCGTCCGGCGGTTGCCACATGCCCGGAGGCGCCGGGGTCACGGCCGGCCAGGAGGTGGCCGCCGCCGTCCGCGTGGCACGCTTTCGGCGGCGCTGGACCGTGCAGTGGCCATATCAGCGCCCCTGTCGGGCAGCCGTTGCCGATTTGCACATGAAAGAGGTCGCTGGAGCGGCGACGGGGTCACGCGACATGCGTGCACGCTCCCGGCAGAGGGACAAAGTGTGTTTTGGTGCGGCCACGCGGAGGGGAGGCCAGTGAACGGCGAGGGGTCCGTGCTTCGGACGCCCACTGGCCTCGACCCACAACATGCACAATGGTCGAGGCCGTGGCCGTATCTTCAGCTTCCAAAACAGGACTGCTGTTCTACGAGCGGTGCCGAGTAAGCTCAACGGTGATGCTGGCTACATGGATACGAGCCCCGAATGGCCTCGCTTTGCTGAAAGAGTTGATACAAAAGTCAATGTCACGCATCAAAGCGAGCTTCCTTAATTCTACCATCATCAGGTGAACGTGTCAGGAGAATAGCGCGGAATGGAAGATGTGGCTGGGCTCGTAAACGCGGGTATTTTGTCGGCTTCCAAGGTGGGTAGAAGAGCACCGGGCTGTGAAGAGCAGCACTTGATTTGACAATGGGATGAACCTCTGCGATACATCCTCGGAACAGGGCGTCTAGAACATGCTCGAATTTAAAATATCTGATATTCACCACAGGCCTCATGCCATTTTAAACGTCAAACGAGGACCCTGATTGGAGCTGAGAATTTGTGTAGTTTGCGTGTATTGTGGCAGCTATTGAAATCATGTTATGTTCCGGAAGTCATATTTTCTGATACCTTCTCAAATTCATTTCAGGGACAAAGCTCTATCAACGATGTCATACGCATTTGAATCAGCAGCTGATTGGCCAGTCGAGATCACATCGGGTCAAGGACAAATATTGTTCTTGTTGGTCATTGCAGGGAATCCGTAGTCTGTCACACATATTTTGAAGCTCTTACTACGTGAAAAGCTGCGAAATAGCATGATTTACGAAATTGCCTTCGTTTTGCAATCCACCTGGACGCTTACACTGCGATAATTTGCAATATGCTGACTTCAGCGTAGTCCATACGGAAGCCCGGAAGATCCAAGCTTGATAGACCAACGAAGACCGACGTAGCTTGACGTTGAGGAAGACCGGAAGACCAACGTAGCTTGACAGGAAACCATGCGTTGGACATCAATCTCTGGTCCCATCAAATTTCTGACAGCGTCCCAATTATTACCAATTGCCGGTGCTAATCTCGAGTCATGCTGCTTCCGAAATTCATGCAAGGAATCTGGACAGAGAGTTCGATAAAGAGCTGTTTCTATTTCGTGTTAATCGGGACGAATGAAAGGCTAAGCACATTACCTCCAATGGAAGCTTGCAAATGGTTGATTTCTCAGCCTTCTTCGGAGTTCAGGAGAACATCTTCTGTTACGAGATGTCAGGCCTGTTTTCTGCCTTCTGTAAGCATTCTTGCATGTCTAGCTTCGTTGCGTAAGCACAACTTCTTCGTTGCGAGAGAAAACAAAACCAGGGCAGCGCATAACTAGACCATGCGCAGCATGCGACATTCAAAGCACCCGATTTGTTGGCTGACGCGAGTGAGTCGTGAAAACTTGTCGCTGGCAGGCGGAGCCGTGCTGTTCACTAGTCATTTGAGCAACCCTGAATATCAGCGCTATGGGGAAATTTCGTCTGAAACGTAACCGGTGTAAGGCTTTTGTTAGGTGTGGTTGTCGGTCCAAGCTAGTCGAATTACGCCACGTTTGCGACCTATTCGGGGTCAAAAGCGTGCTGTACCTCAAAGTCCCGGTTGCGCCTTATCACGCCGCGTTACGTCACAGGCGAATAAAATGGTGTGACGCAAGCCCCAGGCAGCACGACTCCGGTGACAAGCATATCGTTGTGTTCCTAGGCAGCTGCACCGGCTGCTGTGTGAGCCTCGTGGGGCTGAGCAGTGGCTTGCGGCTGTTGAAAGTATGGGAGACGTTAAGATGGTGGGAAGGAAAGAGAGGAGAGCCGTTGATAATGCGTGATTGGGATGAGAGCGGGAAGAGCAGGTGGTGCCAATAAGCTAGCCGTGCGTGCTCTTGTCCGAGATCGCGCGTTTCTGGCATTCGTGTTACGTTCTAAGCGCGCGCGCGTAGATATAACGCACTGTAAGTCAGCGCGTGGATGTAATGCACCTGCGTCGAGCGCTACATGACACGCCATAGGTCTTTTTCCATAGCGCATACATTGCACGACTTGTCAGCACTTGGGGCTCGTGATCTTCCAGTCCCATGCATATGCAAACCTAGCCCCCATCACCTCCCTGAGAGAGCGCACTGAACAGTCATGGCGCCGACTCGCCCCTAAACACTTGAAAATAAGAGCTCCGTGAGAATGGGTGGCTGATGAGGTCTTTTGGCCCTCAAGGCGAAAGTGGCTTACTTATGTGTTTGAGTAGAAATAGCCTATGCATATTTCCATCGTTCGTCGTCATTGTTATCAAAACCAATGAAACTCATCTAGATGCGCGGCAATGTAAATGTGCACTGCTCAC